GAGAGAAATGCATCTGGGGCTTGTCATCACAATAGTGAGCTGAACGGGATTTATGAAGTGCGGGAACATTAAAAGCAAGAGGAAGAATTTTAAAGATGTTTATAGAATGTTTGATAGTGCACTGCTATCCATGCAGTCGGTAGGGTGTTCTGAATGGATGGTTGTGTGTGTAAGTGGTTGCTTACTGGTCCAAAAGCACCCACCCCTAAACTTCTAGAACTATGTCTCTAGACATGGATATGGACCCCTCTTCAATGTCTTCAAGATTTCACCCATTTGATCATTCACTAGATGTAAATCACAAAGAAGAGGTTTGCTCACTTGAGGTGGAGATGGTGTCTGACTTGAATGCTGTTGTAACATTGTGTTGTTGGACGTCTGTGTTTGCAGAAGAGGTGTTTGTATTATGCTGGGCAATGTTGGTTGGAGAATGGCCTGCACCTGCAAAAAGTATAAGAAATTGCAATTTTATACATTTTTTTCACTGTAAATAGAACTGGAATATCATCAATGTTAAGAGACCTGCGTGCTGATGGGGTTGTTGGGCAGGCTGATAGGCAGCATGATTTGTGTGGCAGGCTGAGTGTTGATCAGTGTCTTCTGATGCAGCACTTTTGGGACTTGCTGGGTGTTGATATAGAACTGCTGGACTGGGGTGTGGTGCAGCTGAGCATGTGGCTCTTCCTGTTTCACACCTGTAGTTTGTGGCAGGGGACTCTGCTTGGAGTTGCAGCTCGGGGCGATGCCGTTCTCCTCTTTGACCTGGACTGATGGATTGGGTTCAGGCTGCTGCCCTCCGCCCTGCTGACTCTTTTTCTCCACCTCCAGCTGCATCTTCAGCTCCTCCACCAGCCGTTGCTCCTGCTCCAGCTTACGCATGAGTTCCTCAATCTGACGCTCCTTCTCGTGAAGGCGCTGGTCTTTTTCGGACACCTTGATGTCCATGGTCATGTCTTCAGGTGTGGGTTTGAGGGGTGAAGTGCCTGCTGGTGGATGGACTGGAGACAACATGCATAGAGCTTTGGTGGGACTATCTCTGCTGTCCTCCATACTGATGTAGGAGGCCTCTGACTGCTCAGGAGAAAAGGGGGGAGTTGTGCTCATGCTGTCAGGCTGTAGAGGAGCTTTGGAGATGTTTGTATCCATGGTTGTAGCAGACTGAGAGCTCTCCTGGTGGGCTTTAAGCCTTTCTATGAGATCTGTCTTTGTGCCGGACACAGGGAGTCCACGCAATTTCAACTCCATCTTAAGCTCAGCCACCTAGAGGACCAAAGAACAGTTGTACCTCTGCATACTTATGCTTATTCATTTCCTGCTCCTAAAATACATATTACCCACCTTCATCTCATCTAGATTGGTAGGCAGAGACCCGGTTTTACGACCGGTCACAGTGTTGTTGGGTCGTGAAGGAGCCGCATAGGGCAGAGATACCATAATGGGAGCGGGAAGACTAGGGCTGGTGCTTAGGTTGATGTTGGGGCAGCTGTTCTGAATCTCAGCTACTGGCCTGTAGAGGAGTATGAGGGATTTTAAATGCAACGGGAACTTCCTGTTCCCTCATTATTCACAATAAAAATTTCTACACAATAGAAGCAGAGGTCTATCTTGCGGCAACAGGAGCCAAAATGGGAAATAATGTGAGGAACTGCCGTACCACTGCTGGGGTGATGACAGGTCTGTTAGACAAGATTAATAGATGAAACCATTATTTAGAGGCAATCTAAATAATGCAATTGTATTATGTCTTAAGAAAGTTTTAATTAAAATCAATATAAAGCTAAATTAACAACAACATATTTAGTCAAAATTAATATTTTAGTCAAAATTATATTATCAGTCTGCTTGATGTGCATCCAAGACTTTTTGCAAAATGCAAATACTCAATTTGCAACATTTACAATTGCAAAATGAAGCTATAAAATGTAAGTTATGTATTGGAGTAATACACTTCTCAAGCACATTAAACAGCACACACATCCAGCATCAAATAAAGTTGCCTTGTGCTTTGGATAGCTTGAGCTGTCCACTTTTCTTGCAGCAAAGTATTTTTCCCCCCAAAAATGTGTTTTTCATTAAGTTTACCAAATAATCAATAATGAAATTTGTTCCTGTGTGTCTAGAATCTAGATACAAACTAAATATGACATTCAGAGATAGTCTGAATTACATTATATATTATGTGAATTATTAAACAAAATTGGTTGTGAAAAATGTTTTTCATGTCAGGGTCATAATGACACAAGGTGCTTGTGCTAAGGGTTGTGTATGTCATGTGAAAGGGCCTTTATTGGAAATGTGACATACTTGAGTGGTGCTGGTAATATGGCCTGGTAATTGTAATGCTGTTGCTGTTGGCTGAGGATCTGGAGATGCAGGAACTGCTGCTGTTGTTGAAGCAGCTGGGCATATGCTGAGTCCATCAGTGCTTCATTGGGTTCGTGCTTCTGGTCAGGCGGGATGTACTGGTGATACTTGAGCTTCTTAATTCGCGGTTTGGGTTCTTTACTCTTCTTGCTTCGGCTCTTTTCACTGGACTGTTTGGGCTGGCTTTGCTGCATGGAAAAAAGCGCAGAAGAACTGAACAAAAGGTGTTACCTGAAATCACACAGCAAACTTACAGATCACAGTCAACACCCTCACACTTTGGCATGATATCACAAGTCTATTTGCTTTGTGATTTCAGGTCATTCCCATAATGTTTAAACTAGCCCAGTTCTCTTGCTAACAGAGGATTCAGCACTCTGAGAATACCAGGAGCTGAGAGATTTGTGGGCAAAACTGAATAGGTGGGACTTGTATGAACATATACCTATAATCACAGGAAGAGGAAACAGGATGCATGGAGGGATATGACCCTCATTGTTCCTAAATATTGAGTCACAGGATACACATGAAAATGGTTTGGCTTCTGAGGAAGGGAGTTGAAAGTCATCAGGATGTAATAACACACCATTTCAAGCTGGCTTGTGTGAGCAGGTTCCCGAAGCACCACTGTTATAAACCTACTAACTAGGTTTATAAGCTGTTCAATAGCTACAGAGTCAAGAATAATTCACTGAATAATATTCTCTGGAATATTGGAATATAATGTAATAATGATGTAATAACACACCATTTCAAGCTGGCTTGTGTGAGCAGGTTCCCGAAGCACCACTGGGAGAGTAGTGAGTGACCCTCTGTCATGGAGTAAATGTGCATTTATCATAATCCATGTCTTCAAAGCATACTCTGCATAAGTTATTGCCTGACTCCTGTTTCTATGTTCCCAGCTTCAGTTTGTTCTTCTCTGCATTAAGAGTGTGAATGTTTCATTTAACCTCCAATTGAAGACAGAAGACAGCTGCTAGCACTTCTAAATCTGCATCTGCTGCTCTTCTGAAACTAACTTTGCCTAAGGTACCTTTGACAAGTCATTCTAAACAAGCTGTTTAGAGTGACAAACAACAGCTCTACTATTTTCCCGTCTTTACACTGTGGTACACCGGTTTATTTATTTTTTATTTAAAAAAAAAAGATTTATACTACTGTTCAAATGTTTAGGGTCAGTACAAGTTTTTTTAAAGATATTGATAATTTTATTCTGCAAGGATGCATTAAATTGATCAAAAGTGAAAGTAAAGATGTTTATAATAAATGCTGTTCTTTTCAGTTTCCACAAAAATATTAAGCAGCACAATGGTCTCTGAGTCTCCGGAGTTGTGTTTCATTTGGAGCCCGAGTCAGTGCAGTAGTGATCATGAGGTGGAGCTGCGGTATCAAAGTCCCGCCCAAACTCCCGCAGACCCAATCGCAAGTTCACAATCATGACACCACCACACCCCATTTTTATAGCATCAAATAACTAATTATAAGCAAAATTATTAGAAAGACAATTATTTGAAGTGCAATTTGATTGTTTAGTTTCTCTCAGGTCCCATTACATTACATGGTGAGGGTGGGGTTTATGACCTATACTGCATCCAGTCACCTGGGGGCGATCGAGACGCTTTGGCTCTACTTTTCAGGACTCGACAAACAACAGCTCTACTATTTTCCCGTCTTTACACTGTGGTACACCGGTTTATTTATTTTTTATTTTAAAAAAAAGATTTATACTATTGTTCAAATGTTTAGGGTCAGTACAATTTTTTTTAAAGATATTGATAATTTTATTCAGCAAGGATGCATTAAATTGATCAAAAGTGAAAGTAAAGATGTTTATAATAAATGCTGTTCTTTTCAGTTTCCACAAAAATATTAAGCAGCACAATGGTCTCTGAGTCTCCGGAGTTGTGTTTCATTTGGAGCCCGAGTCAGTGCAGTAGTGATCATGAGGTGGAGCTGCGGTATCAAAGTCCCGCCCAAACTCCCGCAGACCCAATCGCAAGTTCACAATCATGACACCACCACACCCCATTTTTATAGCATCAAATAACTAATTATAAGCAAAATTATTAGAAAGACAATTATTTGAAGTGCAATTTGATTGTTTAGTTTCTCTCAGGTCCCATTACATTACATGGTGAGGGTGGGGTTTATGACCTATACTGCATCCAGTCACCTGGGGGCGATCGAGACGCTTTGGCTCTACTTTTCAGGACTCATGCGGCACACTTGGCAATTAGTGATCAACCGATATTGATTTTTTATAACCGATACTAATTATTTGCATGTTTATGTGCCCGATATGCAGAACCGATATTTATTTACTGTTATAAAGTAAACAAATTACTGAGTGAAGTAAG